TTACAACAGCCAGCCATTTAATTCTTAGGCATAGTTCCAAGATAAATAAAAACATACATCCACACAAAAGCCTGCACCACATGTTTTAGCAGCATTATTTATAGCAGCTCCAACATGAGAACAATCCAAATGTCCACAAATGGATGAATTGGTAAATCAAATGCAGTAAATACTTACAATGGAATAATACTCAGCAATAGAAAGAATGGATGAAATGTTGAGATGTGATGAAATGAATGAACCTTATATGCTAAGTGAAAGTAGGCAGGCATAAGGACAACATGTTGTATGATTCTGTTTACACGACATGTCCAGAATAGGCAAGCCTGTAGACAAAGAGATTAGTGGTTGTCTAGAACTTTGATATATAAAAGTGGAAGGAAAGGGAGGATGACTTAATAAGCATGGCATTTTGTTGCTGGGTGATGAAAATGTTCTAAAATTGATTGTGATGATAGTTACTATTCTAATTATACCAAAAGCCATTCAATTGTTCATTTCAAGGAAGTGAAGACAATGGTAAGTGAATTATATTTCAATAAAGCTGTTATTTGGCCTTAATTGTTATTCTGATTAAAAGGAATTAACATGAATGTGGAATGTGTATGTTGATTCAGCCTTTCATAAACTCAGTAAATTGCAGAAGTCAACTACTCCTTAACACTGCATTTGAGTCTCCACATGAATTAAAACTTTTCAAAAACAGGCAAGATCAAGTGTTTTTTCTCAATGGAAGATTAAAATATATTTTAAACAGACCTGTGAATCTACCTTGAAGCCATTCTTACTCCAAAGTGAAATAATATTATGCCATGCATGTTATTAAAAAGAAATTATATTTATTTTCTGTTTACTATAAATATATGTAAGTTTTTTCAGATATTAAAATACTAAGATAAGCTTATATATCATAACTATATAAAATGTTTTTTTTAAAAATAAATTCTGAAAAATCCAATAAATTTAAAATAATCCTGTTGGTGTTATATTCTTTATAAAGCTATAGATACACAGCCAAAACACAGATACATGTTCCAAAAGGTATATTGATTTCATAAAACTATTTTTGTGAAATTAAGGTCAATATTATGTATACACCAGGATTACATGCATATGAAACTGAAAAGGATATAGTCATCCTTTCCATATGGGAGAAAACTGAGACCAAAGTGGTTAAGGTTTTTCAATAATAATTATTGAGAAATCACTGGTTGGAAAACAACTTTCCCAGTTCCTAACTTTAAAGGAAATAATGCTTCCATCATAACAAAATTCCAAAATAAAAGCACTTATTTGAAAATCTACCAGTATGTAGGATTCTATGTATATATATGTTCAATGTTTATATACTTGAATACATATGACTTGTTCATTTCCATCACTGATAATGCATTTAGGCTTTGAGCTCCTGGAAAGTTGCAACCCTATGGCTACTTACCTGCTCACATACTCAAACTTTTAATTTATTCAAGCACTTATTTTTTTTAATTTATTTATGTATACAATGATGGGATACAGGCCAGAGGTGCAGGGGGCGGTGAGAGGATTCACCAGAAACAGAGTGGGGAGCAGAACAGGCAGGTTGACAAAGTACACTGCAGAGGGGAGCAGCAGGTGAGACAGGATCCACATGCTGTGCCATGTAAGTCACCTCCAGGGCTGGGATCAAACTCACACTGACGTGCCCACAATTTGGCTTGGCTCCAACCACTGTATCACCAGGGAGGGCCCCCAAGCACCTATTTTTAAAAAATAAATATCAGTGAGTTTTAAACACAAATTAAATAAATTAATTTATTTAGTAAATTAATTTCTAATGTAAGGCTTAAGTAAGCTTTCATGTAGATGAGTCTATAAATTTCCCACATAAACCACATGCACTGTTTACACTTGGAAATAAAGGATTCTCTATAAAGTGTCCGGTCAGCTCTGACTCCTGAAAGATCCTAGAATTATTTTTAGTGACTCTGCCTCAGCTTTGTTTACAGACCCCTCTTCTCACCATCCGTATCTTCCCCAGAATTAACCTCCTCCAAAAGTCATTTTTCTTGTAGTGAAACCCTAGTTGCTCTCAAAGGACTGTTTGTCTTGTTCCTGCTAAGATGCAAGTTGCAGACAGGGTTAAGTCTTGAGTGTCTTGTCACATTTTTTTTTTTTTGTCTTGACACATTTTTAAAAGTGAGATTCTATTTTACTCTTTGCTCAATATTTCACTAATTAATGTAAAGAGTGAGTGTGACCTTTTGCTATATCAGCAACATCATGTGCCAACCTCCTCTGGAGGCCCCCACAGTCTCCTGACCCCCGACATTCCAGAAATCAGGGGTCAGGAACTGGGTGTCCCTTTTGTGAAAAGCTGTTGACCTCTGGAGGGAGCTTGTATAGAAGCAAGTGTTAATTTTCAAAATGTGACTGGCTGTGATAGCAGCAACCTCATCCCATCACTATGTCCCCTGGAATGTTTTCTAGTCAAGGGCCTACAAGTGACCTGTCATCACTGGCCAGTGGGACAAGCAGCTCATTCTTATATACTTGCCTTTCTCTCCTGGTTCCAAAACAAACCATACCATTCTGCCCTCCTCACATTTGAGTTTTCATGTGTTTAACATTTTTCAGGGCTTCACCTTTAATTATATGGTCAGGGCACCAAGAAATGTGATATTGAACATGTTAAGTATGAGATCCCAGGCCGATTTTGCCGTACATGGGATTGCAAACTACAGAATTTGCATTTGGGGTATATATGCGAGTGTTTATTCTTGGAACTACATTAATAGACACTTTAAATGATTATCCTCCAAAGTCATAAAAGGGTTTAAGTAACACACTTTAATATATAATTTCTTAAGCACTTTTTTAATAAAATACAGATATATAATTATAATTATCAATGCTTTTATGTCATTTAATATAACAATAAAAAGCTAGTCTTTGAAGTGACAGGGTGATTAATATTTACAGTAAAACCTAAAGGAAACATTTATACCATGTACCTAAATCAAAAAAGATTAACAAAAAATTCTATTTGTATTGTGGTGTCAACTCATATCATCACCAACAAAGAGGAAAATGCTCTCCATAGTAACACATATTGCTATAGATCATTTCCTTTCATAGTGTTGCCCGGATAGAAAACTCTTGTTCTCCTTGATTTATATCAAGCACAGAGCTTGGTATACTCATAAGGACTTTCCCCAAAACTCTGTCAAGCTATTAACACCAGGCACAAACATGTTATATAGATCTACCTATTGGAACTATTTTCACGTTCCTGCATGGTAGCTTTTAATTTGAAAATCAATACTAATTTGATGAATTGCTACAGAAATTTGTCAAGATCTATAAAGAGTTATAGCTCGTGCAAATATTATTCAAATAGTAATTTCCTGAAACAGCTGACAGCCATGTTGTTTTAAAATAAGCAAGTCAGCAGCTACATCCTTTCTCCATCTAAACTAGAGATGATTGAAAGCAATTCTATTTAGCAACAACTTTAAATTTTCCAAATATATGAAATGTAACAAGTTAATGGACAGACATATTACGTAGTTTCTCCACAGACATATGCTAATGCCTCATTACGCATGCTTGGCCTTCCCTGTTCACCTCACAATGTGCTATCAAACTCACTTGTTTTGAAATCTTAAACCACATGTAATTATTGTAGGGATTTAAAAAAATAATGCTGTTTTCATTATTCCGGTTTCAGGGTTAAAATTTCCGTTGAGGTTAAAAAGTTTTATAGCTCCTTTATCATAATTAGTATCTTCCTCCTGAGTTCTCCAAGAGGATCTTTATAGTAATGGGCTTTGGCCTTTGCAATGGGCTTTTGGCCTATAGTCCCTGAAAGACAGATTCCTGGAGATAACCCCCCGAAATTCTTTACAGTGTTATTTAACACCAAAAGGTCTAGAATCTGTTTTGAGGAAGACTCAGACAGAGGGACAAGGTTAAGGAAGGGGGAGGTTTCAATTTGTAGGACTCACAAGACATAAATAAGTAGCATAAATGTCTTGTTCCTTACTTACAGACCATCGGTCAGGAATCTCAAGCCAAGATGTAACAAACATCCTGAGTTAAAAACCAGACTATAAAAGCCTAAGAGACAGAGGGCAATACCACTCCCCTTCATTTAAAAAGACAGTATTTCTCACTGGAATCAAAGAATTAGAGGTGAATTTATTTTCTGTCATTCTACTCATATCAATTCCTGGTAAAAACTGGAATTTAAAAGTGGTTATAGAACATTCGTTAATATTCTCTTTAGTTAACTAAATAAAATGAGCAAAAAATCTAAAATACTGGAAATTTATTTTTGCAGATGAATAAATACCTCTTATGAGCCCAACAGATAATGAAAAAGAAAAAATCACAAACTCTCCCCACCTTCCTTAAGAAAATAATCATTATGGGTTATGGATTTTGTAGACCCAGAGTCACAGAATATTTATGGCAAATAAGAATAAACAGGAACATAACAGCTAATCCTTCATGATTACAAATACCTCAGAATGAATACTAAAAATTCACTGGCCTCTGCATTTTAGGTTCTCACACTGTGTCCAAGAATAACAGAAATCACAAGACTCTGTGCTGGTTACTGCTGATTATCAACACTCAAGTATGGAACTGTATAGAGCATTTTTCTGATAAATTAAGTTATAAGTCTTAGTCTGGTTTGTGTCATTGCCAAGTTTTTAGGTTGCCATTTGGATTTTGGAAGAGTTTGAGAACTCTGGTTAAGCATACTACATTTACGCCAATACTCTGTGCAACCGGGTGAACTGGAGAGAAACAGAGGCTGCACAATTCTACGAGCTATATACAGGACACATATATTCCATAGGCAATTACAATCTCACCACGAGAAAGTAAAACTCGGTGAGCCTTCATTTCCTATTATATGTACATTTTACAAGCTACTGAAAGTTTCTTTTCATATTGCTTTTAAAAAAGGGGGGGGGGACGAAGAAAGAAAATACATTAGACCAAGTCAACTGTAGTTTAACTTAAAGGCTTCATCAGACCATATGTGCAGACACTTGAGATGATGACAGAGTTAAGCTTCCTAGGGTCCTAGAGTCAAAGAAACTCTGCTGCCCCCCACTGCTAAGCAGGTGCACTCCTTCCACAGGGGGCAACATCTGCCGATCGGTCATAGTCCCACTCGGTGAGGACCCCAAGAAACTTCCTTGGGAAGAAACAATTTTCTCAGGACTGGCAGCCAGTTTGGGGGATGTGGAGAAGTTATATCCATACAGAGCACAGGGGCTGTGTAACCTGAAAGTGTTATAGGAGCCCTGATGGGTCTGATTAGTGGCAAAGGCATTGCTGGAGGGTGAAGGCATGATGTACTGGAGCTGGGGGGACATTCCCGAAATTTGCATGGACAAGCTGGTCTGTGGGCAGCTGAAGGTGTCCCCGTCAGTAGCGCCCATGGACATGTTCACAGAGGCACTGCTGCTCACGCCCACATAGGAGGGAGTCCTGGGTGGGGCGAAGGTCTCACTGGTCTGGCTGGTGAGCCTGTTGTAGGTCTCCGCCAAGGATGTGCTGTAGCGGTTGAGGGTGAGACCGGAGCGTGCACAGGCGGAGTAGTCAGCTGGAGCCAGACTACACAGCTGGCTGGTGTTGGGACCCAGATGGAAGGCAGGAGAGGAGCAAGGTGAGCCAGACAACAGATGAGGGTGGGTGGCAGGCACGCCATTCCCGGAACCTTGGAGTAACGTGGAAGAACTTGTATTTCCTACAAAAGAAGTTGAAATGTAAAAGCAATGACTCAAAGGCCACCTTTTCCTTTCAGTTTCATAAACGTGAGCTAGATATGGGCTGTTGCAATGGGAGCTACAAAGATGAACAGGAGATAGTCTTGATGCTCAAAGAACTGTAGCTTAATTGAAGTCAGACTGAAATATTTTCAACAAACCTCATTTCAATATTCTCAACATAAATGATCTCCCCAGAGGGTGATTTTTTTTTCTTTTGACATAATTACTAGAAAACTACCAGATAGAAACTTCACATTTTTTCCCCTCAATTAGCTTTTTCCAAGTTTTCCCACTTGACTATAATAAACATTACAAATATGACTCTACTGGCAACTTTATAAAATAAAAATTCCATTTTACTCTGTATCTTATTCCAATGTTTAACCATCACCTCTCTCATCCACCTTTCAGCAGAGCTTGCACTGAATCAATACATTTTCTTATAAGAAAAAAAGAATGAGGGCCCTTCTTGGTGGCACAATGGGTTAAAGTGTAGCACTGCAAGCTAGTTGCAGCTGCTTCAGTGTGGGTTCGACCCCCCAGCCCTGGAGGTGACCACATGGCACGGCAGACCTCTCCTATTTCACTAGCCTGTTGCTCCCCTCAGCAGTGCGCTTCATCGATCTGCCTGTTCTGTTCCCCACTCTGTTTCTGGTGAATCCTCTCATTGCCCCTGCACCTCTGGTCTGTACCCCAGTTTTGTATGCATAAATAAATAAATCTTTGGGAAAAAAAAAGAAAAAAAATCATAACAAAGAGCTGAATTGTTTGAAGCTCTTCAAACCTCTGTAGTTTCCCACTGAAACTGTGTGTGTCAATGATTTTGCCACACAGGGCTTGACTGTTGCAAGAAAGCTATAGTATAGAAATTTAAAAATCTTATTTCCAACCAGAAAGTAGGTTGGTGATTCACGTGCTAATACAAAAATAGACATCCAGCAAGTAAACAGTCCCATGAAACAGAAAGTGGTTAACCTGTGCCCAATCAGTAACGGAGGTGGTGACTTCCCCTCTCTGGCTTTGCTGGCAGATTGATGTTTGCTAACCTGACAGAACTGAGGGGGAGAGGTGAATTCCAAGGGACTGGACAGGTTGTAAAACCTTCATGACTGTAATGACATGTGTTTTATATAGCTCAAAATAGTCTAAAAACCCAATCTAACTAATGATGGTAATCTAAACCCCTAAATGCTAACTTCTCCTGGGGAGCTGGGCAGGATCAGGCATCAAAGTCTGCAGGGGGAAGTGGGCAGAGGGTCCCATTCACAGAGCAAGGAGGAAACATCACCCCTTTCCGTGAGCTTCCTCTCAGGAAACATCAGCCCTGGGCTATAGAAACAGCCAGAGGTGAGCCCAGGGAAGACCCCTGAGTGTGCTGACCTTTTCATCATAAGCTCAGCAGGAGACACTACCTAGAGGCAATTCTGCTGAAGAAGAGAAGAAAGATGCTGACAAGAAAAAGAAGCACAGACAAGTCCTTGAGAGGTGCATTTGGCACCAGCACTCACTAGTCAACCTCTTATTTCTTAAGAAATTTAGGAGTGAAGAAAGCTCTTGATATATTCAAAGAGTATAAAGCATCCAAGACTTGATGTTTGACCACCACAGTCATTTTTCCTGGTCCACCTTCATACCTACAGAAAACTGACTCTACCTTAGGAGGATGTTGGTGATGAGGGTGCCACTGCGAATGTAAAAAGTGACTTGTGCATTTTTCAGTGCCTAAGTTTCTAAGCAAGAGATGGCTGCATATATGACCCAGGAGACTGTGACTTACCTTGCTTGGGAATTCCAGGAATATCCTCAAAGGTAAGAGTCCGCAGAGAAGGCCTCCAGAATGCGTATGACTCCACCAGAGCTTCCAAACCCATCCTAAATTGAAGGATTGGAATGGGGATGAACAAGAAGCCTAGTTAGGAGCAGTTGGAGCTTTCAGAAGTAATAAGCACCTCAGAAGACAGCACTGGCATTGAGAGCACCCCCCACACTGGCAGGTTAAGAGCTTGGCACAGGCAGACAGCAGTGCTTCAGATATGGGTTTCCATTCTGCCATCAGAAACATGAAAGAATGGGAACCGGCCAAGATGTCCTGGCACATTCTCAGAGAACTAAGCCAACCTCAGAGCATGAAAGGCTGCTTCCATGGACTAAGGAACTAAGGTAAAGAGAATCCAAGGCTGAAGTGAATCTAAGGCCCTGCTACCATCTGGAACCTTCCCTCTCTCCTGGCCAATGAGGAAGCCCTGCTGCAAAAGCATGCATCTATAAAGCCACCTCTTTTTTAGGAGGCATTTTTATCCATCATCTGATGGCTCAGCAGCTAACTTAGAAGACCCCCCATCCAAGAAAACTGATATCTCTCTCTGTGGAGCACAATCTCCATCAAACCCAGCGCAGCCAGGTTGGCTCTCCCTCGAGCAATGAAGCCTGAAGGGTTGGGAGTGGGGCAACTGACCTCTCAGCCAAATGTGTCAAGATTCACAGAAGGTGATCTCACAGGGCAGAGTGGTATACGGAGCTAGTATTTCAATGCCCCTACACACACTTGCAGAATGCATACTTAAAAAGACAACCTAAGTCGGTTGTAGATTATTAACATATGTATATGTTACAACCAGAGCAACTACTCTAAATACATATATAAATACATGCATAAATAAATGCATGTCTCTCCTATCATAAAGTGACTCAGGCTTGAGCTCCTTTGATTTGGTAACCAAGTCTTCTAATATCTGGAAAAGAGGCCTTTTATTCAAGTAGTCATTCTCAAGGCCTAACCAGCAACCACCACAGCCCTGAACAGTTTGTTCTTTTAGATGAATTGTGCTTTTCATAAAAACTACCATCCTACTGTATGAAATGCCTACTTTCTCAGGAGCAAACAAAACTTGGGCATTTCTTGTGATTATTAGATACAGTTTTATTTAATATAAACAACTAGTGTTTAACACAGAAAAACATAGGATCAGTCTTTAATGATGTAGACTTAACATGCCACCAATCTGCATTCCCTGCACCTCCAAGGATCTAAGACGACAGGAAACCATCTCAGAGAGTCCACACCTACCACATGGTGAGAGTTCACTACCCTCCAGAGTAATGTGATCTCTGCAGGTAAAAGCATCTCACTTGCCCTCTTGGTCCAGAGAATTTGCTTCTTAGAGTGTTCAGAGTGGGAACACTTCAAAGTCAGTCACCAGCTCCCCCAGGAACAGTACTTAGCTGCCAAAGGGAAAGCTTACTGGGCTACACAACAGAGCAGAGTCTGTTTCTGTTGTACATAGAGACAGGACTATTTGTAGTCACCTCTTGGAGAGGACAATGGGTTAGAAAAGTGGGTAGTGACAACTCATTAAAATTCACAGTGTGGACTTAAGTAAATTATTTTAACCTTCCTGCACTTCAGTTCTCTACAAAGTAAGAATGAGATTATAAAAGCTCTGAATTCCCTTCTAGCTTGAAAGCTGTTTGAGACTAAATGATTTCTCCCAAACCAGACATCTTGATGTGGCTGACTATAGATCAAATGAAGATCACTGCACATAGTAATATTTTATGTACACTCAATAATTGATTTCTGGACACCGGGGCCATTTGATCAGCCCTGAAAGCCCACTTGTCCAACAGGTTGCATTAATTCTCAACTAATGAATACTGGGTGCTTAATGCTTAAATGTTTATTCACATTTGGCTTGCACTAATGCCAATGTTTTATGTCTTTCTAGAAACAAACTTTTTTAAATACTAAAGAAGATAGACTTTCATATAAACCTGCTTTTGGTATTACCACATAGGTGTACGTGAGTAATTAACTGTAGTTTTAAGTATTAAGGTTACCAAAGACGTCATGGCTTGATTGTCTCAAGGGGAAGTTTTCTAAGAAATGATCATCTACTGAAATTAGAAATGTACTAACTATGGAGAGAAGAGATGAGCATGGCTGTGGGCTTTACTTTAGCAGTGTAAATTTTATTATGCTGCAAATATAAATCCATAGAATAAAATTGAGAAGAGAAGCTAATGATCATCAGAACCATTCATCCCTAACATGTGAAGGTGGCATAGCTACAAGTGATCTGATTTTGAGCTCTTGACATTTTTCTTAAGGCTGCTGTTTCACACGGCAAGTTCCAGAAAGGATTTCAGATATTTTGCAGGAAACAGTTATAAAATATTTATTAGCTGAATCTGGACTTTTTTTAAAAAGCCTTCATTTTCTCTAGTAATGGAGACTTTCCCGTCTAGTTAAAGAAAAGATAAAAGGTACCTCCTGCAGGAGTGTAGTCAAGGCGATAATTTATACAAGATGCCTTTGAACAGTTTCCACATTTTATCACCACCCTAATTTATGCTATCAAATAGCCAAGTTTATTTAGTAAAATGGTTATGTTTTTCCTGAAGTATTTAAAGAGAAGAAATTTTTGTACCTTCCTGAGTAAAAAATTTTATAGGGTCAAACCTAAGGCCTAACTGAAGAATGAAACTATTCTCAGCACATAAATTCTCTTTCACATAGCAAATTTCTTGCAGGAGAGCTTTTAAGGGCTGAAGCTACTGATTCCCATAAAATAGGCTTAGAACCATAAATAGCCAGGAAGGAATAATTTTTAATTAAAGCAAACTATTTTATAAAGTTTTTAAAAAATCACAATTTCATGTGAATTTGTTGTCCTGCTCAATTTGTTTATTTCATGTTTGTGGGGAAAATAAAATAGAATTTGTTTTTAAAGCAATAACGACAGCACAACACGACCAGGGGTAATAAAGAAATACACTGAACTTTTTTTTCATGGGCTTCTTTCTCCGTTAACATTTGAAAAAATATCATCTCTTTAGAACCAAGTTTAATATATAATTTGGGCTTTTGCTTAATAATATGAAAATCTTTAAAGCTGACCAAATTCATTCTTCTCCATATAAGAATGTCTTTTGCATTTATCAATGGAAAATGCTAAAAGATGGTATTTTATTACAATAGGGAGCTACTGATCTATGCATATTGAACATTGTACATAAAATACTAATGAAAATATCAATGACGAGTGGAAATAATTTTAATGAGGAAGAAAAGATGAAAATATTCATTTCACTAACTAGTTTTGGATAGGCTCACCATGTTTCCATTTCCTAAAATATTGCACAAGTGTGTGAAGTGCAACAAAAATTTTTCATTTTAGTAAAATTTTAAAAGAACTGAAGCATAATTCATTATTTTCAATACACTCATGGAAAAGTCTGAAAGTGTTAGAGTTGGAAAAGAAACAGTAGCAAGCCGTTAGATTCCATGTCTATAAACTCCAAAAACATCCAAAGGCAAAGAAAAATCTGTTATCAAACATTGCATCTTGACCTGATCATACCAAACAAGAGACTAAGTCATTTTTCACTGTTGCCACTGAGTTTTTTATACTGACCAAATTTAAAACCTCTTCATTATGCTTACGTATCTAACATTCTTCCCTAGAACTTGTCGTAGTCACCTTATCATATTGCGAGTACGAGTTTTATTCAGTATTACTATCTATTTAATATACTTTAAAATATTTTTATATTTATTGCTTCAAAAATGAACCAACAGACTATAGCAGTGCAGCCCTCCAGTGTCAACAGCAGTGGGGTCAGTCTTTGCTAGAACAACCCTATAGTGTAGCCTGACCACAGTTCCTGACTGTACCTCTCCTAGCATTCCAGTGAGGTTCAATAATTCCCTCTCTGCTTAAGAAAAGAATTGAAAGTAGTTCAACAATTTTAAATGGATAACTGCTATCCCAGTCCAACTAAAACCATAAAAATATTCCACCAAAGTATCAGTGAACGTTGAAAAGGAGTTATCCCACAGGAAGGCGCCCTTCAGCCACCCCAGCAGGGACCATCTCAGTTATAAAATTATTCAATTTTCAGGGACTCCACTGAAAATGTTAACCAGGAGCTAATGTAACATAAGAAATTTTTTTTTCTTGCACATGGAAACAGACATCTAAAATACAGCATACAACATATGTTGGGAATATCTGCAAACTTCCTACAGGGTGAAGCCCTGTCATACACTTCAGTTTCACTTTAGTCCCCACATTGCATGCTTTTGAAACAATACATTTAGCATGAAATAAAGTCTACAGACACTTGAGTATATTCTGAGAGAAGGTCTCTGCCTACACTTACCCTGACCAATTAATCAACTAAAAAGAACTAAAAATTTGGATTATTGCCTATTTGCTCCAAATGCTAAATAAAATAGTTCCTAAAATAATATGCCTTAGAATTCTGACTTCATGTAGACACAAACTATATCTAGTTTTTAAAACGTATTAGAAAAAGTTCTAGAGCAAAGTAATAAAAATTGCTCTAATGCTTCTTTTAAAAAAACAAGACACTTTTGAAACATTTAAAGTCTTACCCTAAAAAGGCATTTGGTGAACATTAATCTAGTATTACTCTGTGTTACTATCAACAGTTACTTTAGAAAATGTTGCACTGTACTATATTGGAATAAAAACATATCAATAAATTTAAAAACTCTTGGCACACAGACTAGGGTGATCTGCTTTCTGATAAAAATAATAGGGTAGATTTTATGATTGTAGGTCTCCCACTTAGTACAAACACCATAAAACACAACACAGAAAAAATAAACAAGTGTGTGGCTGTTTGCTGAGCCAAGACAGATTTGGAAAGTAAAGAACATCTTGGCAATGGAGAGTACTTTCACATTCGAACTGGAAATCTGAGGGAACAAGAGATTCTGACATATTCCAAAGGCAGAATCAATGGATAGGTATGACATCATAAGTAGATTCCAAACCAAGAGCAGAGATAGAGAGAGGATCCTGGTGGGAGCCTGGGGGCCCAAAGGGGTCCTTTCAGAGACAGCACCACCACCCAAGCTAAAATTTCCACTTCTACTCTAGAATCACACATGAATGTTCACCTTAGAAGTAAGCAGGCCAAGCACAGCATAGCCCCCAAGATAAATTCCCTCCAAGGCCCAATAATATTACCAAACTTAAATCTTCATGAGAAATTATTTCAGCACCATATCAGTAAACTTAACTCATAAGGGAAAACTCATAATAAAAAAATCAAATATATCTGACCCAGTTTATGGCAACATGCCCAAATTCACCAAGAAGATGGAATCGTCAGTAAATACAGACCCTTTATGTTATCTCCATCAGGAAAATGATGAAGAAAATTGAAATCAGCCAACATATAAGTACACTTGCTCCTTCTGTGGCAAAACCAAGATGATGAGGTGAGCTGTGGAGATCTGTCACTGATTCCTACATGAAAATAGTAGCTGGTGGTGTCTGGACACACAAGTGAGTCTGTTTCTTGGTGGTATTTGGAAAAGGGTAGATTGTGTCAAAATCTAGTTTTGATACTGGATAGACCAGTTTTAACTCTCCATGACAGAAACATCACTTCTGCCATCACAGTCAAACCTGTCATCAGATGACTTCTGAAGGAATTGAAACACTAGTAGAAGTTCCACAATTTGAAACATTGCCGCCTATAATAGATGGTTTAATTTGTGTAACAACAACTATATATATATATGTGTGTGTTATATGTGTTATATATATTTATCACAGAGCAACTTCACACACACTAACTTACCGATTACGTCCAGAGTCTCGGAAGCCTTTGGCAAATGGATTCCTATCTATCTTCAGGCGAGTAATCTGCAGAGGAGAGGGAAAAAAATCATATCATATCTTATAATAATGGCAAGTAAGGTTATTACAGTGGAAAGGGCAGGAGAACTACAAGTAATTCCAAAATTAACTACTAAAGGATTCTATTGTATCCCTCTGCCCTATTTCCTAGATATATATTTTGTTATCTTAGCAGTAAAGCTAGAAGAAAATTTCAGAAATCATCTAGAAGGCTCATCTGCTATAAAAAGTCACTTTCAAGCTCTAGATAAGTTTGCTTTATTTTTAATACCCTTGAAGAAGGATATTTGGAGTCATTTATCAAGAATTGGCCCTGTACTCAACAATTTCTCTAAAGTTCTTCCCTTTAACCCTGGGACATGGTTTAATCTTATTTCTCTTGTAGTGATGATAGGTAACTATCAATTCTATTTAATAACCATTTACAGTTGAATGTTGTTAAGCTCCTATAAAATCTCCTCTTCTTCAGAAATAAGTAATACATATTCCTTTAACTTTATTTGTCTCTGTATTTTTGTCTCTTTCTGAATCTTGTGGTGCTCATCTGAAAGTTTATTTTTCTCATCTGTGGTGTCCTGACCTTTTCAAAGCAGTATAACAAATGTCTAGCCAGGGTCACCAATACTTGAAGCTCCTAATAGGATTAAGTCTTATAGTAGAAATGTATGATGTTTTAATCTGAACTACAACTTACTTTTTATTTATAATCAGCTTTTTGTCCAATAAGATCTGAAGGTTTGGGGGGGGGAATGTTATGATTTAATTGTTTTCATTAAGAACATTTTTTCTTAGTTATGCCAAATTGAAATCGACACTAATGATACCCCATCTATTGCCTACCAGACCTCCATTTGGTCCAAAGGAATGTAGTCTTTTTTCTAAAGGGCACATGTTTCATTGTCTGTGTTCTTTGACTTAGTACAATCTGTAGCTAATACAAACACTTCTGATCTTACTCATTTTCGTTAATACAAAAGCATTACTCATTTTGGATAATACAAAAGCAAAGTAAGGCATCTTTGGAACATCATCAGCAGTCTGCCCATACTGTCCTATATATGCTCTGAGCATGCTCCAAACAGCCATGCAACATTAGAGATACATCATCACCAAATATTATCTGCATAAGACTACATTATAAAGGTAAAGTTAATAAAAGGCTTTAGTACTTCCCCATATTTGCCATTCTGTTGTCAAAGGAAATCTAAACAAATCATTATAGCATAGTTTTCTAGTCATTTAAATAATATTTCAGCAACATTAAGTAATTTAAATGTTCATTGAAAATAGTATTTTTGAAAGTATAGTATTAGCTAAAGGTGCCTTGTCAAAAAGGAAAGGTATATGACAATTACTATTATCGTTATCTTTATTACTAACAATGTATCTATTGAGTGCATGGTGTATATGCTGTGCTAATTTTCATCACAATTTATACATAATAATTTACATCATAATTTCATCATAATTTATATATAGTTATTGTCCCAATTTTGTTTTCTGTTAAACTGAGGCTTTGGTTTCTACAATTTCAAGGTTAATAGGTGGTAGAACCCCAGCTTCCACATCCCATTGCTATTAACCAAAGGTAGGTGGCATAGTGATAGGTAGGTTAAAAAATAATATGATTGTATTTTATAGTTAGCAAACTTCCTTCTATTTTTAATCAATTTCTTAACATTTTCTAATTGTTGTTAATCAACAGCATGTACCAAAACTCTACTGTATCTCATTTTGTCACAGAGATTGAGAAAAAAAATACATATATACGTAAATTTGTGTGAGAGAGAGAGAAAGTGAGAAGGGAGGGGGGAAAAGGAAGAGAAAAAAGGCTTGGATCATTAAAAAATATATATATTAAATGTCTCTTCTTTTTTCCTCATGCATCATTTTTTTCTTAAAATGTAATTTTGTGCACATATTTTAAAAACATTTTCCTAGTTATCTTAGCCCCTCTAACGTTTAATTCATATTTCTTCCTAAAAGAGAGTGTTGAACCTCTCAACCTAAAAGAGAATGCATGGGAGGGGATTCAGAGCTCCTGAAATGTTTCTAAACCAAAGCAACTACAACAGAGAGTTTATTAAGCCTTAACATTTTAAATTGATTTACATAGAAAATGTATAGAAAGTGGAGATTTAAATAATTCTGCTGACCACTGAAATTTAAAAAAAAAAAAATCCTAGCACAAACTCCATCAGCCTCAGTTACCTTGCTCTTTTTTAGGAAAACTAGCTGGAGTTGCCTCTTGTTCAATTCTCCACCTACTTGATACAGGCTTAATGAAATGTTTACTGAGGATTTTACATTTATGGTCAGCAGGGATATTGGTTAGTTCACAGTTTGTTTGTTTGTTTGTTTGTTTGTTTGTTTGTTTGTTTGTTTGTTTGTTTGTTTCAATGGAATACTATCCTCATCTGCTTTAGGTAACAGGGTGACTTCAGCCTCATAAGCTATGTTTGAAAACCTTTCCTCTCCCTCCATTTTTTGGAAAGTTTAAGAAGGACAGGTATTAGTTCATCTTTGAAAGTTTATTAGAACTTACTGCTGAAACCATCTGATCCTGGCTTTTGTTTTTTGGGGGACTTTTGATTACTCTTTCAATTCCTTTGTTTATACTAATGGTCTGTTCAGGCTTTCTATTTCTTCCTGACTCAGCCTTGAAATATTATATGCTTCTAAGAATTTGACCATTTCTTCCAGATTATTTGATTTCTTGGCAAAATGATATTCATAGTAGTTTTTTCTACGATCCTCTGTATTTCTGAGGTGTCATAACTCTCATTTGTTTCTATTTATTATTTTCTGCTTTTCTGTTCTACTTAGTGAGCTTAGCTAGAGGTTTGCCTATTTTATCTTTTATACATGCACACGCATGCACACACACACACAATGGAATACTATTCAAATATTTAAAAGATGAAATCCTGCCATTTGTGACAATATGGATGGAACTGGTAGAGATTATGTTAAGTGAAATAAGTCAGAAGAGAAAGCCTAATACCATATGATTCACTGATGTGGAATATAAATGAACAAAGCAATGGGAATGAGCCAGACAAACCAAAGTCCAAAAATCTGACTGCAGAACTGAGGCCCACCAGAAGGGGAAGGTGGAAAATAGGGGGCAAGTTGGGGAGTGGGCCCAACAGGCTATTGTAGAGGTTTGTTGGTACTTTGGCAAGGTGCTAACGAATATTTGAAGAGGTGTGAACCCCCACTAAATCATACAATGTTGAAAACTACCTCAATAAAAAATAATGCATTTTCTTTAAAAGAAAAAAAGAAATATTTGTTTATCTACACAGAAGAAAGAAAACATATTTTGCTTCTCAAACTATTTTTAAATTTATCAAAGGATTATTCCATAATTATCAGTTTTGCAGATTATAAACCTGTATATCACCTTCTATCACAATTAAAGGATATCTTGGAAAAAAATCCCTTTTTCATATATACCAAAATCATCAGATAGGATAAATTCTTCTGAAATGTCTCTCATGATAGACTGCAGTTTTAAAATAAAAGTGAGCTACCAAATCCCATGTCCAGTTTATTTTTCAACTTTACATGTCTAATCCTAGGTGATACACATGTTTTCTTACTTTAATTGTGGGATCATGATTCAATTATCTCCAAATAGAAAGTAAACCTGTACTGTCAGTAGAGAGACACATTTTGGTCTGAGACACCCTTACTAGAATAGTCTTACTTGGAGAAATGTGTATGTGTTTATGTTTGTGTGTGTGTATAGAGATTTAAATAACATATATACATATTTAAATAACAGTATATACACACACATCTAAATAACAATTCACTATGCACACAGACACCCTGACATCACATACGGAAAATGCTTTATATAATTCATAATGTTTAGACACAGTGAAAAGACAGCTGTTTTTTAGTTATGCCTGTAAAGAAGAGACTAGAAAAATATTAATTCTAAGTACAATACCTGTTGATTCTGATAGGCAGTGACAGTTGTGAACACAGTTTCTGGAAAGGAGAATGCCTTCACTCCCTCCCCAGATGGAACTGGCTTGATGGGGGAAAGATCATCTCCACAATCTTTACGGATAACATGGACACGTGGTTGATATTTGTGCATGGAATGAAGAATAATCTGTCAAGGAAATAAGCCAAATTTATCAGGAAACTGATCTCAATCTCAACACCATGACTAAACATGTAAAGGGTGAAATACATTCCTGTTGGAAATAAAAAAAAATTCTAAGGATGGAGATGTGTCAGTTTAGCATAACATATCAATATTGGAGAGAAGTCTAGAAAGTTATTTGTAAACTTTGTCATCAAATACAAAAGAAAAAATAATCACTATTTTAGTGGAATAATACATAAAGCCATTAAACCTAATAGTAAATTTCTATTGCTTGAATGCAAGATATAATCATAAGAATTTTATTTATAGTGAGCCAAATGAAGTCGTCCAAATTAAAAAATGGAATTAAGGATCTCCCTGGTGGTGCAGGGTTAACGTCAGTGCTATCAAGCTATCACTGCTCCCCTCAGCAATGTATTTCAGTCTGCCTGTTTTGCTCCCCACTCTGTCTCTGGTGAATTCTCTCACCCCCTATACCTCTGGCCTACACTCCAGTTTTTGTATGCATAAATAAATAAAAATCAATCTTTAAAAAAACACAAGAACTTAGGTGATACACAAATCAGATAGCATTATTTTAAAAATATGGGATTGAAATGATGATTTAAATTCCACCACAACTCATCCCCCCCAAAAATAAGTATTTATTTTGCACATGAGGTTTTCTTTAGAAATAATTTTTCTTTTATTGGTGACTATCATACGTATTTGAGAAGGAATTTTTCTTTTATTGATGACTCTCATGTGCATTTGAGAGCAAAGAAAACTGTAAGGATACTCCAGAGTCTGCCTTATGTGTAAAAGCCTTTCCCTTGTCCAAAGAACCCCATGTCCATGTCTCCATCACAAAGCTTGCAAAACCCTGATGCCAGGGCATAGAAAAGTTGGCATGCTCAGACTCTGCTAGGAGAACATGATAATATGGTTCAATTATTTTCTAATTCCATTTCTGAGAATTTCTCCTAAGTAATTATTGCAATACCAGAAAAGCATTTTATGTACAAAGATGAGCATCGCAACATTTGTAGCAGTAGAAAAACTATAAACCGTGTACGGGAGTAAACTGGGTCAGTAAATGAAAGTTCACACAATGGACACAGTATTATTCCACTGTTACTAATGTTGTTTAGATGATTTTTAACCACATAATAAAATGTTTCTTAAGTTTTAAATGATAACAGAGGATCCAGGTTGCATATAAACTTCTTCCATCAACTTCAAAATGGACAGCAAAAAGAACCCACACGAAGATATGAAAGTGATCTCTGGATGAGGAGAACTATAGGAAAGCATATACTCTGTACTTTCAAGGCTGGAGGTGGGATAGGGTAAGGAAATACTCATTCATGGGATTTTCTATTTGCTACTGGGAGTCCATATTCAAGTATTAATTCATGAATTTAGTTAACAAATTTGTATTTTCCTGAGCTATATATAGGATTTGAATTCGGGTTTGGGTGTTAGATGGAGGGAAGATGTTTACATAAAAGTTACAGAAAACAGTGATTGACTAGCCTCAGGTTAATCAGGATGCGGACAGTTTAACAGAAAGAACTCAGCATCTTTGATCATCCCAAACACAAATCACCTGTACCTGGAGAGAAAGTTCACTGCCAGAGAGGATGCTACTGACAGGGAATAACCAACACTGTAGTCAGTTTTGGTGGCTTTTCCCGTATTTTGTTGTTGTTGTTGTTCTTTCTCTTTTTATTAAAGATTTATTTATGCATATAAAACTGGGGTACAGGCCAGAGATGCAGGGACAGTGAGAGGATTCAACCGGGGACAGAGAGGGGAGCAGAACAGGAAGATTGAAACACTGTTGAGAGGAGCAGCAGGTTGGACAGGAGAGGTCTGCGGCACTGTGTGGGTCACCCCCCTGGCTGGGGATCAAACTTGCTGCAGTGACTACCAATAGCTGAACAGTGCTGCATTTTAACCTGTTACGCCACCAGTGAGGGGTGCCCCTATTTTTTTCTTTTGATCAATGGAGGAAATGCCTGGTAGCAGAGCTAATGTTTATGCCCATGGTCATGCCTGACCTGAGAGGAAGGATAAGGGAGGAGGATAGCGGGGGGAACACACACATTTGCAGCCTCTGGAAAGTTCTCTTTCTTGGTCTGACAACTGTGAAAACTGACAGAATTTCAGTAACCATTTAATGTTTCATTAAATCAATGTATGGTTATAACCAGAAATAATTTTAAGTCAATAAAATTATACAATAAAGTATAAGAAAAGCTGCTTGTAGTAAAGATAAGGACTGCTTTACAGTTCTTGTGGGGAGTGTGTGTGTTGATAACCTAACACATGTATCTCGATGTGCATCAGGTAAAGAGTTTGAAAAACACAGAAGCAAGATTTAATTCTAACAATTCTAAAGATCAACAAGTTCCAGAGTGGAAGATTATTTGGATAAAATGACATTAAACAAATTAAGCGCAACCCCAATTTCAGGATAATGGAAGGACCTGACCTGGAATGATAAAAACAGAAATTGATTTGGTTTCTGTTCACTCACCAATGAAAAGAAGGTTCTCATTTTATGAAGTTCTCTCAAACATATTTCTTCATGTAGCTCCATAGACAATATTTAATTGTACTTACTTGTTTATATGCAAACCAAATTTCCGAAATGACTTAAGGTAAGTTATGTTTGGGTAGAGTAGAGAGATAGTTGACATGTCCTTCCTCGCCCATTAGTAACTTGAAGATTATTCAAATGAAATGATGTATTTTTATATGATTTATAGGAATTTAGCAAATCCCTGGAAATTTGTAGGAAATGCTAAACAAGCCTCAGTTCTTCTTAATAAAAGAGCATTACTTGCTTTTTTAATGAGCTATCAAAATTATAATGCTGACTAGTCAATAATAATTGGCTTATTGAGTAACACAATTAGAGGCAGCACAACCACTGGCTTTATAAATAAGGAGACCACAAAGATAATGCATATTAGAGAAATTAAAATAAATTCAATTGATCTGCATGTTCTGTGCTCTCTATCCTACTGAGATGGAAGGTTTTTCTTTTTGGTATTACTTACTGGCACAGATACCTCATGGACCTATGTTCACAAACACAGGGTGTTTTCTCATATTCATATTAACAGTTATTTTCCATTTTAAAGGTATTAGGTTTGCATCGAAATAAGCATTATGATACTTACTTCTGATCTGTGGTTTGACATAATGTAGCAGCCGTGTTCTGTCTTACAATACAGTTTAATGGGGAAACATTGCCTACTAACTTTGGAATTTTCTAGATGACCTAAATGGCAGCGCTAGAACAAATCAAGCAGAAGTCTAAGTAGAAACTAAGAACAAAGTCTGGCTCTCCCTGCATTTGGGTGATTGACTTGGCATAGTGGAATTGAGGCAGTAACTTGGTCACATGCTCCACAGCAATGTGACCTTGTTTTGTTTCAGGTGTGACACTGTATATGAAGCACATAGTTGACAGACTCAAAAGACTGAGGCCTCCCAAGGAAGAGGAAATTCTGCCTCCATACCTCCTTCAGTTATTTTCTTGTTTCCAAACTGTACAATTTCTCTCCATATTCCCCACATATATTCAAATTCAACAGCTCATTTGACTCACCCCAAATCCTGATTCCAATAGAACCTGTAAGAAAACCAATGCTCAGGAGTGGAAGACACTTGCCCAGGCATGTGAATATGCTAGACCTCTAAGCCCATGTAAGTTCTAAGCCCATAATGGAGATGCTGGCAATCTCCCACGTACTATCCTGCCTGCCATCTAGTCTCAAGAAAAAATGGGATGAGGGGGAGGACAAACTTGAAGCTAGAGTGACTCTATGGATGACTCCTAGGCAGCTGGGAAAGCAGGTCATCCCATGGACCCCTGGCTGTGGCTATCCTCATGGTGCTTTCTTCCAAGGCACTTTCTCTCTAGCACTGTGGGTACAAATCTTGACAAGGTACATGATGCACTGTGTTAATGACCTCTAATTCTGCATGGGAATGCACACCCAATCGGTCCCTCCTGAGAATGTGCACGTTGAAGGAGAGGCCCTGCCTAAGCATATGTTGATTTATCCAAGGGCTTGCCCAACATAAACCTGGCTACGGATTCCCCAATGAGCAATTAGGGATTATAGAGTCTTCACAACATTCAGAGACTAAAAGTCCATTCAGAGACTAGCAGTAGAATGTTTCCACTCTAGGGTCTCACCAACATATCTCTTCCTAAACAATCCCTGGCATTTGGAAAGCTGGCAAGTGACTGTGGAAAACCACATGGCACATACTCTCATGTCTCATTCAATCCTAGTACCAGTCACCACCCTGTGAGGAGTTGACTCCTGTGATCACTCACTACATTAATCCCAGTCCCAGTTCTCTTTGGGATTTACAAATCTATGTAAATTATGTAAACACTTGTTCATCTGTAGCAGAATAAAACTGGAAACTGATGGCCCTCCCTGGTGGCACAGCGGGTGAAAGAACAGCACTAAGAAGCTAAAGCCACTTCAGCACTAGTTTGATCCCTGCCCCGGAGGTGACCCACATGGCTCGGCAGACCTCTCCTGACCTGCCCACTGCTCCCCTCAGCAGTGTACTTCGTCAGTTGGCCTATTCTGATCCCTACTATGTCTCTGGTGAATCCTCTCACCACCCCTCCACCTCTGGCCTGTATCCCAGTTCCGTATGCAAAAATAAATAAATCTTAAAAAAAAAAAATTGGAGACTGAGAGGTTTCAGACCTGCCAGTCCCTACATTTTGTGATCTGATTCCTTAAAAAGAATCTCTCTCTATATTAGTATTTATACAAAGTCTATTGATTTTGTTTCTCTAGAGAACATTATTTTAAATGTTATATTGTGAAGTTACAAAGTTTAAATCATATAGTGGCTGTTAGGACAATATCTAAAATGAGATATTACTTATTAGATAGAAAGGCAGTAATCTTATGTGAAATACTAGGACTATAAAATGACTATATTGATTTAAATAATTAAAGAAAAATTTAACTTATTTATGGCAGTGCCTAGTTTTAGACCCAGCTATCTAAAAGACATGTCTTCAAATTACAGGATTCATAAAAGTGGAACATATTTAAAGTATTGAAAGCAAATAACATTAAGTGTTAATTAAGCTAAAATTTTCTTTTTCAAAAAAAGTAAACACCTCAATGGACATGCTGACATTCCCAATCAGCTTCTTTCAATATGACAGAAATCAATTATTTTTCTTTCACCTCAGTCAGGTGAAAAGTAACAGTTACAACTTTACTATAAATAGATGATAATAGGTAAGGAAACAAGTTAATCTACTAAAATACAGGGAATGATGTTAGATTCGAAATAAAATATACTGTTACTTTTCAGATTTTATTTTAAATCACAAAGGCATTAGCAAAAACACTAGCAATGTGAGATTTTTCTAGATGTGTCTTCATAATCTAGATATTGTATTTGTACCACAATAAAATTTGTACTTGAAGTGTTTTTCATTAAGGTCAATTGCTTAATTGAGATAACATCTTACAATTTGCAAATTATATCCTGTCCTCATTGTATTAGGATTTTATGCTATCTTGCATTTTTTTTAAAGATTTATTTATTTGTGCATACAGAACTGGGGTACAGGCCAGAGGCTCAGGGGCGGGGAGAGGCTTCACCAGAGACAGAGCTGGGAGCAGAACAGGCAGATCGACGAAGTACACCACTGAGGGGAGCAGCGGGCGGGTCAGGAGAGGTCTGCCACGCCATGTGGTCACCTCCTGGGCAGGCGGGTATTGAACTCATGCGGAGGCGGCTTAGATTCTCAGAGCTGTGCTTTAACCCGCTGCGCCACCAGGGAGGGCCCACTATCTTGCATTTTTTAAAGAGATTTACAAATAAATAAACTATCTTTAAATCACCCCTTTGAAAAATGAACTAGTTGGTATTCCTTCTGTGTACGATATACTCTTCTGTGTATGATGCATTCCAATCCTGTGTCCATCAAAAACTTCTAAAATAGCAGAAACCTAGCTGAAATGCTAACTGAATGGAAATGAGAAAAATTCAAAGTTACTTATTTGTTAAATAATGTGTAGAAATCTTGCTGAAGAACAGTATTACATTAACACATAAAAATTAATAAGGTGTTAAAAATAACAATATTATTGGAATGACATTTTAAATTATGTATGATGTTTCAGTGGTTTTAAGACTAAAAGGAAGTATTATTATATTTGACACATTAGATAACATTACTAAATAATAGGGCGCTAGCAAAAGGAACACACAAATACCATAAGCCTGGGCTATTACTGAGAAGCAATAAGCCTCAGCTGGGAAAAGGGCTGGATGCAGGTGGAACACAATAAACCATTATCCCCATTACCCCAACCCCAAATATTGATATTCCGAGTAGAATACTTAGCACCTCCTGGGATTCTGAACAAATGTTTCAGCTAAAAAAAAATGTCTGTGTGTGGCTCCTGTACCCCAGTATCTAGTTTTAACTTATTAAATGCTCCAGGTACAATGCAAATGTAACTTTGATTTTGCAATCTATACACATTCAGATCAATCAGATAAGTATGATGGCCACAAAAAAAGTAATTTCCTTAGTCAGGCCCAATTGTACACATGCTACCCAACATAGTTACCCTGGGGTGGACATCCACTTACATGTCCTTGGTCATCCAGTTCATTATTGGTGAGCTTGAGCTTGTCGAAGCTGATCACTTGTCTCATCCAAGTCTCCCCTGAGGCTGGTGAGTCTGGGTGAATGTACACCCGAGGGGGCACAGGGGAGTCAGCGTTACCCGCCACCATCCACTTAGAGCTGTGGTAAACATACCTAGATGACAGTGACAAGGATATTGGACTATTGTTTCAGATTAAAATTTCCAGCCCAGTACAGTCAGCTGAAATATGTACTCTTGAATAGAAAAAAACAGAAATGAAGAGCTACTTACCTGTTAAAATAATGTGTAGAAATCTCACTGAACAATACTACCTAAAAAATTGGTAAGGTGTTAAAATGACCACATTATTGAAATAACTTATTCGGACTTATGGATGATATTTCAGCAGTTTTAAGATTGAAGGTTTTGCTCTTTATGTTCAATGCAGATAACAAAAGTTTTTAAACTCTTCAAAAATTCTCTAAGGCAGCAGACGTGTGTTGACTATACAAAGTGGTGTGTCAATGGTTTAATGTGACTATTTTAATACACACACTATCACCACCAAAAATGCAACAATTTTAATTCTTATGAATCACACTTATTCATGTCAGTTTGTCTGCCTTTTTCCATTTTTTAATCTGAATGTTTAATTGACATGAATCATAAAGATTAAACGGTCAAGCTCATCTTTAAGTAAATCTCAAAAGCACTTAAAAGTTATCTTTAAAAGTCCTTCCTTTAAGATTACTTCCTATTTTAGGCTTATATATATGATGGGGTCAAACAGTAAAAAGGTAAGGGGAGTATCAGTGGTTCTTATTTTCAAAGGAAAAAGAACGATTTATCTCTAATCATTTAGAATTACTATTTCTAATTTTATTACACTCTCAGTTGATGATAAAGTGTCCAGTTTAACTTTAAAATTTCATATAGCCATAAAACTTAGGCCTTTATCTCCTATATTTCTTGATAATTGTAAAAAAAATTTCAAATTACTTTTAAGCACCACTAGTTAAAATGGTATTCTTTCAAATGGGATTCTATAAATTAATTTTACACTTTCCTAGTACTTTTTCTAAGACATCCTATTTTGCCTATTTATAAGTATCAAGTATTTTGACTCCATAAGAATAAAACTCTTAAATAACATTTGAAATAATAAAGATGTTTATGATTTTAATGCTATATTCATATTATCATTTATTATTATAATTTATAATACACAAACTCAAGAACTAGAAACTACTAGATTTACAAAACACTTTGAAAAGAGAAATTATAATCCTAGGCATTTTTCTTCCATTTCTTCAGTGTGTTCCAAGGAAATGTCCAATTAAAGCAACAATGTGAAGTGATCTCAGCAAATTCTACTCATATAGCATACAAATTTCTTTTTAAAATGGCATGAAACAGTTTCATAGCATATCTAAGAAAATCCTGTATTTTAACTATGGTCACATATTTTATTCTCTTTTTCGGTCAATCTGCCTTAGGTTCTTTAGTTCCTATTTTAGGGGAAAAAATTCACCAACTAAGAAGAGTAAAATTTTTAACTTCACTTAATTGCTATAGTATAATTTCAATAAATAAGTTCCTAATTTTATGGGCCTCTGTGAATATTAATTTCACACTCTAATAAGTCATAATCATTTTTAACTTAACCAAGTATTACTCTTTGTTAACAGAGAATAAAGCAATGTTTTTTTCCTACTATTTCTTGAAAAGTAAAAAATTAAAATCATCTCTTAGAAATGTGCACTGTAAGTACAAATTGAGGTATTACCAAAATAGACAAAGTAATATGCTTCATCAAAATTTTGAAACGTCTGCATACTAAATAGTCAAAAGTCCATACTCATTGAGTTAAAGCTTCATGTTACATATTCTTTGTGAAATAAAGAATCTAAATACAAATGCTAAGACAAATTTCTTCTTGGGAATTAATTTATTTTCTAATTTGATGTTTTTATAATCTGGTATCTTAATGCTAATAATTAAAATTGATCTTTTTTTAGATGAGAATAATAAGAAGCAGCTAAATAAAATAAACTATGCAAAATATATGTAAGAGATATGGAGAAAGAGACATATTTAGAAAGGAATAATTTTTATGTTCTTCAAGAATCATGCTATCTTCCACAACATAAAACCCAAATAAGAATATGAAATTTAGTCAAATATATTTAAAGAATAAATTTCCATGCCTCACTGGCTACTTTCATGCAGGAGATAATTTTAGCAAGACTCCATATGAGTTAATTTAAATAAACACAATAATAAATAAAATACAACAACACAAATAACAAAACTGTCCTTTTATTACCCATTTTTAGTATTCCATATGTGCCTTTACTAATTAAATCTGTGTGCTTTTGACACCATAAGCCTGTTTCAAAAAAAACAATTCCCTCAATTCTAAAAAGTGATAAAATCAAACCTGATTTTACTTAAAACCTGACTAAATGTTTTAGCTGTTTATGAAAAAAGAACAGAAACAGATCAAATTTTAAAATAGCTAAAATAGCATTTCAATCTTCTACTAAAATTTTCCTTTTTAAAATGTCAGCATTTTTTAGGGGGGAGCGGGGGCGGGGAAATAAAAAACAGCCATTGAAAATTGCTGATTTTCTTGGTTGCAAAAGGAAAAGAACAAAGGTTGATTTGAAACTGAAGAAAGTTTATCTTCTCCAACTTTACTTGTTGTCTACACAAGTATATCCTCTTTCAAAATCCAAATATTACAAAGTTTTTTAATTACTTTGTTAACTACCAACAAAACACAGAAACAAGGTAACAAATTCAATGCCAATATAAAGATATCTTAATATCGCAATTAATGATATGATTTTATTTTTCTTAGTCATAAAAAAATCTTAATAATTATCCCAAGTGAAAGGAATGAAGTCTACAGTTACAATTTTGACTCTGAACAAAACAGATAAAGGGACCTTAAAAAGATGACCAAAAAACACAAAACATATACATCATATTTTGTTAAATATGATGTATATCTATAGACTCTGCTTAACATTTCCTCTCCAAATCCTGACCAAAATGTGAATTAAGATGAAAGGCACAGTTAGTTTAGCAGCACTAAACTGGTCCCTATTAAAAGTCTTCAATACTTAAAGACATTTCTGTATTTTTTAAAAACAAAACAAAAATCAAGTTTCTCCTTTTACTGCAAGAGAAGACACTGCCAGGGCTGCTACATCGACAAGGGTTGGATTACAGACCTAGGAATTTCTACAGACTTCTGAAACAAACATCACAGTCGCCACAGATCAAATACGCTTTGCTTGCAAAATCCTACTTCTTCTTATCCTTTGGTACCCATTCGATTATCCCCATACCTGTATCTTTTGTTGTCAACTGGTACAATATCCATAGCAATGTAATATTGCTGGTGAGGATCTAATCCTGAGATCTTGACTCTCATTGCTGGAAACATGCGTCTGATAAAGGAGAGGAGGAAAGAACATTGGGTTTTGTTTGTGTTTGTGATTACAATTGGAGGATGAATAAGTGAAGAACCCTCTTGAATTTCGTTTTTTTTTCCGTATAGACAAATTTATCGCTTTCACTCTGGTAATGAAACTCAAAGAATCAGAACTCAGCACATATCCAAATTTAAATGTAATTTTGTTGTGCCCTCCACTTGGGTGCTGTGTTTACTGAAATGCCAATAAAGGAAAAAGCAAAATAACTGTACACTGAAGGAGTAATGGCACCAAAGAAAGTATTTTAGTTTTTAAGCAAAAATCAATAAGTTTATTTATTGTAATACAAATAATAAAATGCTCCAAATGGTGGCAATAGAAATTTTGAATTTCTAGAAGTGATAAAATATATTATAATGTGAAATTTTAAAAGGGTTATAAAAAACCACAAAGAGTCAATGTGCCATGCTATAACCAAACAATATGTTCTTTATTGAGACAGGACTTCCTGTCTGCAGCATGGTAAAGGTGAAGTGCAAAAGTTGCTCTAAATTTGAAAGGTATAGTAAAACTTCTTTATTGAAAGCAGAAACTAAACACAATGTATATTTACCAAATCAGTCCTTTCCCCATCACACCCTGGAAATACTTTCTTATTCACACACACTTTCCCCAAACTTTGTTAATTAAAACAAATGAAAATTTGTGTTTCTCTTGGCTTCCCAGCAATTTATGTCAAAGAGAAACTAAATATTCCTATCTTTTAAAAAGCACATAGTAGCAATACAAGAGCAAATCATTGTATATAAAGCACAAGTAGAGCTGTTCTTTTTTCTTAACTTTCATCTCATGATTTATTTCTAAGATCCTTTCAGTTAATCTAATTTCTGCTAATTTAACCTCATAACACAAATTTTAGTAGCTATGTACAATTTTTTTCCATAACAACAATGCCACTAAAGACCACTCCAGAGAAAAGAAAGTCCATTATTTCTAACTAGACACAAAAACAATTTAATACAAGGCTGTTTTAGTGTTATTTCAGTGCACCTGTAAGATAAAGAGTAAAGGTCTTTAACTACATCCTTTATAAGACAACTGTTGCTTTGTGTTGTTGAAGAATGAATTTGGATCATTAATAAAAGCTCTGTGAAAATGTAGAAGGTAAGCATATGGATTCAATAAAATATGTTTTTGTAATTTCTAATAAGTTTGGATACGTTTATGCTGTCCAGGTTTGCAATGTGGACTCCCTGAAAGAGTTGTGTGTGCTTTTTAGAGTTTCTTTTAAGGAAGATACTATTCATAGATTTCACTGAAATACGTTAATTAAAAACTCTAAAAAGCAAATAATTTTGCGGCTATCTCAAATTAAAATGATCTAACAAATCCACTTGTTTTACTGACACACTTTCAAAAAACGACTTCTTACAAAAACTTTTTAGTATTCTTCAGCAAATACAGGAGAATGTGTGCAATCTCACATAAGAAAAAAATTCACTTATCTGTGAATTTACAAAATGTTTTTTTAATTATGATATTTTTTGCAGGATTAAGCATGCTTTACTGGTGATTCCGTAACTTTTCGCCCTAGTCTAATACGAAATAGCACAAGATGTCATGTTCTCACCCTGTTATGAAATTGTTTTATCAAGAACCAGCCTGGATGTTCAGTACACTAAGAGTGTACTCCGGCTTTTTTTAAAATAGGGTAGAGAATTTGGGGGAGAAGAAGCTGCTCCGTATTTCCAGAAATGGCAACTAGAACCTAAATAAATGTCTTAAATGCCCACATAGTTGCAAATAAGATCACGAATCTATAGCTACTCTGCACACAGAATAACAGCAAAGGGCTACCGGCTTCAGCGGCTTCAGTGGGTTTCTCCCCAGTATCCATAAAGAAGGCGGCTAGGCAATGGCCCTCACCAACTGTACGGTAAGTAGGCAAAGCTAGTTTCAAATACTAACCACTGTCAGGGACCTAGTCCTGAGTCCTTACGAAAATGCTAGCCAGAGGCCAGGCGCGCTGCAGGCCTATCTCCTTCCCGAAACTACCTAGGGGTAAGGTGAGACCTGGGTCATCTCGGGGGACTTTCGCTCCAGTTAGCCCTTTACCTGCCCGCCTTGGTGATGATCATCTCCGTGCCGATCTCATGAAAGCGTTTCCAAAGCTCTGCTCCCTGAAGATCCACCCGCGGGGCCTGTGGTGAGGGCAGCGGGGTCCCAGTTCGGGCGAGGGCCGGGGCCGGAGAGCCCTTTGGTGAGCCTCCAGGGGACTCCAGCGGGGAAGAACCCTGCAGGAAGCCGTCCTCACAGCCGCCTAAGCAGCAGAGGGCAAAGAGGGGTAACTGGTGAGGGTTCCAAAGGGAAGCCAGTCAGAGATGAACCCCTAGACAGGCTGCGGGAAAGAGGAAAAGGGCCAGGAGGAAAGGGGTGCCCTTGGTCCCTCTAATACCCAAGCTCAAGGAGTAAACACTCGCTATGCTCGCCAAAGAGACACTTGGCATTCAAGTGGTACCTTCTTGGCATTCAAGTATCAAAATCAGGAAAGATGCGCAGGGGGCAGCGTTCATCCCATTCTCCTCTGGCCTCGCCCGGCAAAGGCCCCAAATAAATTTCGCAGCGCCGTTGGCAAGCTCTGGGACCCATGCCCAACCGAGCCGGGTTCTGAGTCCAGATCTCCAGTGGAGAGTCTCGGAAAACCCCCTACCCAAGAGCGATAGCACCCAGCAAAATCTCCAGCTGCCCCTGCGCACCAGGCGTCCGAGGCGCGTGGCTTTTGGCAGAGCCAAAGGCATCTTTAGAAAACCTTTCAGATTCCACTCGCGCCCAATTCCCAGGCCGCGCAGAGCTTCGAGCCAAGCAGCGAAAGAAGGAGAAGTGCACAAAAAGTCAGCCCTACAGTAGTAGCCGTCGGCCTTGGCAGCGGCCGAGAAGATGAGAAAGGGAGGGAGAGGCTCAGCTGCCCCTCGGGGAACCACGTTTGCACTTACGCCGCCCTCTTCCCGGTTCAGCCGAGGCGGCTTAGGGCATTCGTTCCGGTTTTGTGAGGGTTCTGCCGTCGCAGAATGCCCCCTCCCCACACGCACACCACCGCCAGGCTTTTCAAAGTTCCGAAAGGGAAAAGAGCACCCATTGGCTGGAGCCCCGAGGGAGGCCGCTACCGAGCGCAAGGGCTGCAGCGCGGAGCACCGCGAGCAGCAGTAACGGGGCGCGCGGGGTGCAGAATGCGCTGCAAGGCGCTGCTGGAAGCGGCACGTTAGCCGTCAGGCGGGCGACCGGAGTTGCTCGGCGACTGCAGCCAGGGCCGCGGTGAACTTTGCGCCTTTGCACCCAAGGCGGAGGCGCCCGCGGCTGAGTTGCCTCGGGCACCCAGGAGCAGCGCGCGCCCGTAGCTCCCCGAAGTTCAGGTTCTCGACGGCCGGCGGGCCAGTGGGAGTTGGGAGGGGACGTGCAAGCAAGAAGTCGGGCGAGAGGGGCGACTCACCCGCGGCTTCGCGGGAGCCGCAGCTCCGCTCCAGGCTTGCGCAGCTCGGGGCC